TAATGAATAAATTGATCGAAAGGTTAACCATATATAATTTATCGAGGCTGGAAAATATTGGCATGTTTTTCAAGCTTTAATTCTTTCCAACTGCAAAAAAAAAAAAATGTAAATAGTAAATATATGATTTCTTTAGGTGAGAAGTAATGGAACATTTTTAAAGAATACTAGTTGGAACATGCGAATAATTAACATAGTATATTGTTAAGTACACACACTACAAAATAATCGATACTAATAAGAAATATGATAATGCATTATATTGTAAATTGGAAGATTTCTCGGTCGACTTACAATAGGCTTATGAATTACTACATTTTTGTTAAGCTTATTAATTTAATATTCTAAGATTGATTTTTTTAAAATACTATCATGTTGATTGATGAGTATGCTGTGTGGTTTAGCAGTTCAACTTAGTTGAGCAGCTGGGCATTACTATTGTATTTCTCTCTCTGGTCAGATTTCAATGGTTGTTTTTGTTTTGTAGGGAATTGAGAAACTAATCACCGGTGTAATCTAAACATAAATTGCATACTTAATAAGTTATGCGCAAATAAAGTTTATAATTTTTTCCCTGACATTTTGAAGGGGAGAGGCTATTTTTACCACCTGAAGGAGAAGATAATCTTTAAATTACGGCTCGATCATTGGATTTAATGAAGAATTGACCACGATATAGTGTGCCGATAAGCAAAAGGTTTTGAGAAATAATATAAATTAGGGGAGACATGGTACGGCTGTAACATTAGCCACATTAGTGAAACCATAAGGAATTTCTGATTATTAGGTTTATTAGGAAGAAAGGGAGGTTGTGCCTGTCTGAACAGTATTGCTAACGCATCGCGCGACATTAACGCTAGTAGAGGACTTCACTACTTCTTAAAAGACAAAAGTAACTTTTATTTTGAATTAACTAATAATTTTGAATTAACTGTTAATTAGCAATAACTTTGTACGTAGATAATTATATATCCTCAAGACGACAAGTTTTTCGCGAAGGAATGCGATGGATACGATTGAGACATATTTTCGAAATCGTTAAAAGAATATCTATCTCATCTCGATTCATCGACATTTAAAACTTCTTCATCTTTTCAATGACTTTTATTGCGATTGTAGTAAAGCCTTAAGTGTTGAATTTAGGGTGCGTCATTTTTCGATAAAATTTTCTTTCGTTTGATACCTCCATTCATTAAAATCCATCACTCCGAAAAATAGATGTATACCAACGCATTTTACATAGCGTAGATGATATGAGTTTTCATGAATATTGGGACCATCAACGCATCAATAAGGAATACTTGTCATTCACGTTCAGATCTTGGTCGCCAGTGGTCACTTAAAATCCACAGTCCATTCCTGAGGAAGCCATCCGGCGATTAAGTCCCGGACATGATTGTCACCCATGGGTACGGATGCTCCCCAAATTTCGGCAATTAGGAGAAGGAACCGTCGCCCTGGACGGATGATTTCGACCACTCCCTTCGGGTTGTCTAATTGGTCATAATTTGACGTCCTAATGCCTCCTCCAATCGGAGGCGGATTAAGCAAGGAGCGTTAGGAAATGGCGTCATCTCCTGGGCCAGGATATTGCAGCCCTTTTGATAATTGGCAAAGGAATTAATAACCCTTCGCCTCCGACCCGACCCCCCCTCCTTCCCTCCCACAGTGCCCCAATAAAAAGTGATACATCCGTGATCTGGTAAACTCTCCTCATTTCCAGCCAATCAGCTGCTACCATCCGATCCCGCCCACCCTAGCCGCCAGATAATGTCCTACTTAATGTCCTAATCAAGGCTGTATTTCAACCCTCCTCAACTTTGGAGTTGAATTTAAGAGCTAGTTCGGACACGATTTTTGAATTCGGTTAGAAGATATTTATTTTATTACAAATTTTTAAAACATATATTAAATTGTAAACATTACTGTATTTATGTGCAAAGAATCACTTATAAATGCCTTTTAATCTCATCCTGGATTAAACGTGAGGAAAATAGAGTTTAATCAGCAGATTGCAACATCTGTCGATTTTTTATAGGAGTTTTTACTAACTTTTTAGTAATACACTACCTTAGGTTTAAGTTGTGCGCTCTAAGTACTCTTTCGAATTGTAACAAGTTTATTGAATAATAATACAATCTGTCACACAGAAGGGCTATTAGTATTAGGACTATAATTGTTCATTGATACAATATGTACCTACAGAAGGGAAATAAATATAAATCATTTTAAAAAAAATAAAGCATAAATAGAATTAAATAAACAAATGGAATTGAAGTTGAGTAAAAATAAAATAACACAGTTACTTATTTACAATCGGCCAAGGAAACTCCAAACCAGGCTTGTTTCTCCACCTGTGGAAGGAAAAACAGGAATTCCCAGCTCTAATCTCTCAATCGCGTCATGGTTATAAAAGCCAGTAAAGATGGAGCGAGAGCACCAGCCAAGATTGCTTAGAGCTACATGTCCCGCCCATCTTAACCTCCTTGCTATCGTATCATGAGATGATTGACCAGTTTCTATAAGCAGCTCTTTATTGTTCTTTCTCCTCCGTGCGTTAGTGTTCTGTTCCCAGATCGCTCCACTTATCGTATGTAAGATTTTTCTCTAAAATTTTTTCTAGGGTGCTGGTTAGTCTCCAAGTGTCGCAGCCATATATTAGAACTGGCTTTATCATAGCATTGTGTATCCTTGATTTGAGTTTTCTTGATATTTATCGGGATTGAAATAATTTTAAAGGAGAGAAGAAAGTTCTGTTGCGCATTTTAAATGCTGGTCTATTTTCGACCTTTGGTCATTCTAATTAAAAATTAATGTAATTTTATTTTATATACTAGCTTTCAAAGGTCTGCTAAGAGGTTGAGAGGAATTTAATTTAATTTAGTATAACGTTATTGCTAGGTAAAAAAAATGTTTCCTGGAATATCTTTCGTAAAATTATAAAAATTTATAGGTATTGCAAGTATAAATATATATTAAAAATACAACCGAAAATTAATAATTTATGTGTTTTACGTGGAATTTAATAAATAACATCGGTAAATACTACATCAGAGGATCGCTTTATTTTTTTTTAAATTTATTTATTTAATTAATTTTGAGTTTAGTTTTGTTTTTTAAGATCGAGTTCAAACGTCGAATTCCTGGAATCTTCAGAGCTACATTTTAGATATTAAAATGTCATGTAAATATAATTGGTCCCGTATTAGATTCTATTTAATATGGTGACGTCATAAATGAAGTCATGCCTACCGCAATTGTAGGCTTAACTTCATGACGTAAAGTACTCTATGTATGATCTCTATATTCTATGTTACCAACATCATGGAATGGTTGGCACCAGACCTGGGAAAACACTATTTTAATTATTATTTTAAAATATAGTATTTGAAATTCAAATTATTTTGTGTTTTTAAAAAATAGTGTATTTCAGTCACAAATTATTTAAATTGTTTTCATAAAAACTGAATTTAAAAACAAAATACCAAAAGTATCTTGTATTTTAATTACAAAAAACAAAATACAAATATAAAATATTAACGTCTTATCGTCATGTCAAGTGGTGCTTTTCAACTAATTCTTTCTTATGAGATTAGAACACGTCGAGAATAAATTATTTTATTAAATTAATATTATTTTGATCAATTTTTTATATAAGCGACGTTTTGTATTTTTTCAATATCAGTATTCTCGAATGGATTACATAAATTGAATCCTTCCTTTTTCGTTGGTAAAATGTACTTGAAAATATTATTAAAGAAAAAAAAGGGAGGGGCATGCTTTCTCCTAACTAAACATATGTATCTGAATATAAAGTAAGGCTATGTTTTTATTTCACGACATTTATTTCCATTTTACATTGGCTATGTTTCGGCTAGCATGCCATTTTCAACCCATTTGATTTAATCATGCTTCTTATATGTAGTCCATAATTGGATTATATATGATTTATAGGTAGATAATCCAATTATGGGCTACATATAAAAAGAATGGTTAAATCAAATGGCTTGAAAATAGCATTCTAGCCGAAACGTAGCCAATGTAAAATGGAAATAAAAACCAGCCTTACTTTATATTATTATAAATAATTTCACCTACAAAAATAATGTATCTTTATTTTACTTTTTTATGAAGCAAAATATGCCAACCTACCCTTTCCTATAGTAATAACCCTAGAGTCCTTATTTTAAAGCTAGTAAACTTTATAACCGAAGAAAATTCTATCCTAACTTTCGATTTTCGATGGAAAATTCTCGTGAAAACCATCAGCCTTGTTATAATGAATCAAGGCTGGCCTACTCAATTCTGTAATTTATTTTGTACATTTATAATACAAAATAATGTACAGTTTTTGTACTTTATTTTCTTGAAAGAGAGTTAAAATATATTTTTGTATTTTAAAAATAAAATACTGTAACAAATAATTATTTTATATGATATTTAATTCTTAAAACTTAAAATGCGCTTTATTTTGTATTTTAAAATATTTCAGTTGAAATAATTCTCAGGTCTGGTGCAAACTACAAACTAACTATCTTAAAGATCGTATTTAAAAGTGACGTTGCCGTCCTGAAATTCTGGAAAAATTTGAAAATTTTGTTTAAGAATATTATCGAAATCGTATTTATTATAAAATTTTAGGATATTATTACAGAACATAAAGTATCTCAGGTCACAAAAAATAAGTCAAAAATCAACATTTCACCATCAAGTTATTTAAATAACGAAACACGAAATTAATAATAATCCAATAATCTCGGATTCCTGGATACTAACTATTTTAAATGCCTATCTAGCTAATGCTAGACGGTAATCCATCTATCTATCTATTAGGTTCCATAAAAACCAATATCTGTTGCTGACTCAGGGCGTGCCGAGTGGATCCACCAGTCAGCAAGGCGGAGCACTTCACCCCCTAAGAGCAGTAAAAAAAAAACTAACCTTCTTGTTCTCTTCCACTAGCCCAGAACTAAGCGATGATTGGTATCTGTTGCAGAACTATGTCCTCTAAGCGTAAGTCGCCGCCTTCCAAGCTGCAAGAGGGTAGCGAGAACGGGGAGGAAGAAGTGAGAGCGGGCATGTTCTACAAACTGGAGTCAAGCAGCCCCGGTTCGGAGGGTATGACTGACCAGGAACAGGAGGAGAAACAACCGGCCGATTGCCACAAGCCTCCGCAGGCAACCCTCCTCAACAACAACTCGACCACCCTCAACCACAACAGCAAGAGGACAATGGACGACGTCCTCAAGAGGCTATCGCTCAAGATGAACAAAGAAGAAGCGCCGAGAGGGTCTCCCAACAGGTCAGTTACATTTTACATTCTATCTTCCGTCCTTAAGAACGCTTCTGCTTTATCATTAAAAGTGATAATGTATTCATAAATATATTTATTGAAATTTACAAATTTATTAATAAAAAATATTACAAGTAACTATAAATTAGTATAATGACATGAGCAGACTTGAAGAGAACCTACCCACATGAAGCAACCCTATTGGTAGTTTTATGTTAGAAGGTCCCAAGGCCATCTTCTTTTCAGACACCTAGGAAGATAGTCAGGAACCGAAGGGGGTGCAAGGATAAAAACTAGTGGGTTTGGGTAGGGTCTGAAGTTTATTATGGAAGGACAGGTATCTGAATTGGGCTAAATCGGCAACATACGGAACATTATTAAGGTCGATATGGATAATTTTATTTGTGACAATGTAAGGAGTTTTTAGGATTTTGCAAAGGATTCTGGATTGTTACGGATTGGATGCAAGAAGAATTAGATGGTTTACTAGAGCCCCAAAGCTCAACTTCATAAATCCAAATAGTTGTAGGCGGGGTAGCCGAGTAGGCAAACGCGTTGTGTAAAATACACTTTGCCCGAAGTTCATATCCCGGTGTTGAGAGAACTTTTAATTCTTGCATTGATCTCCCACTCTCTCTCCTGGCTCGTGAAAAAAATCGTATAGCCAAAAAGGCGAGAAAGGCGAAGAAAAGAAAAAATAGTCCAAATATGCCTTGTTAAAGTCAAGTAAATGAGTCATGTACAGCATTAGTATGAATTTGTCCATCGCTTAAAAGAATGTATGTGTATGTATTTAATTTGATATAATACTCTGTAAGTTAATGGTATAAGTATCTAAAATCTTTCTAAAACGTATATCTCAAAACCTATATACGATACAGATTTAGTCTGTATACTACTGTCACATATTTTACTGTATATATATATATATATATATATATATATATATATATATACGATTGCTTTCAATATAATCGACGTATTTATAAATAAATTGTTATTAATATTTGATTACAATAGGCTATTCAGAATACTTAATAAAAAATATATCAGGAGAAGCAAAAATATTTTTCTTTCATCTCCGTCTGATTTCGACATGACAGGGTATATTCATATCGATGTCTCGGCCCCTTTGCCGCTTCCCTCTCAACCAAGCGTCAATAATCTCTTGTTGATCTGTTGATTCCACAGTCGAATGGTTTTGCCTCATCGGTTCAACCAAATTGTCCATGTTTTGTTCTTATTTGTTTTTTAAAACATTTTCCCTTCTTAATTCTTTTCTTCTATTCTAAACAGGAAATCGCAGTAAATTATCTGTTCAGAGCAAACATCGTATGAGTACACTTTAAAAATCGATTTAATAATATGTAGTTTATCGAAAGATCACCGAATGATGGTATATCAGGTAACAATACAATTCTAATATATATATATATATATATATATATATATATAAAAACTGCTTCGTAAATAATTTGTAAAATACGAAAATTGTACTTAAAACAAAAAATGGCCGAGTGTTATTTTAACAGCTTATAAATATGTTTTAATGCAATCGGGGAATAGAAAAACCTAAAATAAAACGCACCTGTGTATTTGGCCAATGTTGAATTTTTTAATAGGTTACTATATGACTGTATTTATCAATATAGGAAGTAAATGTAAATAAAGCAATATAAAACAAAATTAAAAAAAAAATATCCACGAATTCAATGGTAACTTTTCCCTTCTTTTTTTTATTTGTCTTCGAAGCATAATACAAGCTATAATGCTTAACCACAACAGGTGTTGGCTTCTATGGATTCATCAGTTCCATATTAACAAACCAAAGTAATAAATGAAAAAATGTATAAAATAAAAACACAATAACGATAAAAATAACATGTGTATACTAAAAAAGATCAAAACTTGTGCCAGGTAAAGTATAGCTTCCTCGCCGTTTTCATTGGTTAAAAAATATTTCTATTACAAGGTCTCAAATTTTTCGTATGAGAATAATATCCCTGGGAGAAGCCGTTTTCGGAAGTTCAATAATACCTCATCATATACGGGTTTGATATCCACCAGTTTTGTTCATCAGCAAATAATAAAATGCGAAACGGATTGCATAGTTGATGATTCGTGATTAAAAAAAAAAAGTCTACTGCATACTGACACATGTATATCGCTACTGTTAGTGCAAAAGGTTGTATGTAAAAATTAAATGTTTTACAGGAGAGCATAAAAACTAATAATTTATTTATAATTTCATATTTTATTTTTCTCGGCTATTTTCTATAGTACCAGAATACTTATATCAGTTGCAGACTAAAAAATGTCACCTGTAGAATGAATAGAATAAAAATTGAAACTTTTTACATACGACCTTTAGCACTAACAGAAGTGATATATACTTAATTGGTATGTTTACGTTTTGAAAAATGGATGGGATAAAAAATCCATTGAAAAAATTAAACTTTTTGTTGTTCGGACGCGACCAATACGTTTCTCCAGTCAGAACAAAACTAATTAACCTGGAATATAAAACTATGTGTGAATTTCCAAACACACAACTTTGATATTTAAGGAGGAAATCGAGACCACGAAGAGCTGGTTGAACTTCAATAGAAATAAACACAATTACAAATATGACTCTTTTTTTACAAACTCAGAGTAAAAATTAATTTAAATTTATGGAAAATTACACGAAATTTAAGTAACAGCAGGAAGTGTCATGCCAGTAAAGTCAGGAATCGATCAAACAATACAGTATAAATTACTATTTTAACCCCATAAAAATATTGTAATAACCTAACTCCCACTTCATATGATCAAGGCCATTCACATTTCAGTCATTATATTGTTGAAAAATATTTATATAAATTTTATTATTAAATGGAATTCAATGAAACTGTTACTATGTAATTTCTATACCATTCTCCAAATTTTCTCCAAGTTTAGGTAAAATCGAACTCGACGTTTTCAAATTAATCTCTTGTTAAATCATACATTTCCTGATCTGAAAGGGAAAGTAATTTTTTGGAAGTAGTGGATAGAATTAGATTAAATTCATACATACTTGATTATCTATTTACCAATCCTTAAACTCCCTCCAAACTTTAGCCAAACCGAATGTGCAATTTTAGATATACAGACGTATCATGGAAAACACGGCCGCTTATTTATAAGAGAAAGTAGAGAACGGAATGCAATGAGATCGATACAGAATCGTTATTTTATTAAAACTCACGTTTCGTTCAACATTGAGTCAACATTATTCAAAGAGCCGTTTCTGAAATATTGGCATATCTAAGAAAATACATTTACGCATGCGCAAGCGGTAGTGCTAAATGGAATTTGATAATATTGATATGGGACCATCTATGCACTGAAATCCCTGATAATTTAATGAAAATCGGAATAAATGGTAGTAGGTGATATGCCCGTTACATCATTTTGACTACAGACACAGAACCAAATTTTATCCTTGATGTCTGAAACGTAAAACGCGAGAGGAAATTTTCGATTCTCATAACTTTTTTTTTTTAACCTCTCGCACGGATACAATGCTTCCCTACCTTCGATAGTGAGGAATCAAAATATGTGAAATAATAATACGCATCTCAAATAAGTAAAAATACAAATCAAATAAATTAGCTATTTTAGTTCTTAAAAATTAATACCGTTTTTAGCAACACGTGCGTACATCAAGAGAGAAATCCGGTTTAAAATAAATTGAGTTTTTAAATTGTCGAATTCCTCTTCAGGAATTCCGTTTCAGTGTCTTACGAATTGAGAAAATTATTTACGGGTTTAATTTTTTTTTTTCACTTTATGAAGCTTCTTTATTAATCGTTGAAATAAAACAAAACAAAAAAAAAACTCAAATCGCACGAAAACTAAGCTTATTTATTTTATATTGTGGCATAAACAAGTTATACATGAAATAAACTAATAATATATGATGTTTTTATCATCTTACGTTTGATTAAGCACGAAATCGTAATTGATAATTACGTAATTAATCAGAGATGCTGTTTACTGTTTATTAAAACCCGTTATTGTGATTAAAGATAATTTGCTATGAATCGCTCCAGCTTTCTATTAAATTAGAAATTTTCTATCCGTGTGAATGATAAAAATATTGATAAAGCAATAATAATATTCTATCGTCTTCACAAATACTTATCACACTTTCATATTACGGAAAAGTGTATGTTAAACTATCATTAAAATTTCCAAAAAAAAATGTTTATTTTTAATAAAATAAGAAATGTTTATATTGTACATTTTAAAGTTATTAATATAAAAAAATCAGCTGTGTTTTTAGAATTATATTCATCAGTAAACAAAATAATTAAAATGTTCTTTGGAACATTAAAACACTATAGCGTAGCCGAATTAAAAATATTTTTTATGAATTAACGAAGTTTGAGCGAATTAAACTTATTATTTAGAAATATAATAATCTGTCACGTACACTATAATTATTGTGATATATGAACACATTCACTCCATGTATACAGAAAATATAAAAATATATAATAAAAACAAGGTTTTGTTTTATTTAATAATTACTATAATTTGTAATCGGAAAAGAAATTTCAAGACGGTCATTTCATTTCAGTTCAACCACACCGTAACACATAACACCACATATTTTTATGAAACTTGACATAATCGTTAAATTCCTTTATGTAAGTAATGATACAAATATATTTTTCTCTATTTTTAGTAGTTTAGCAGTTTCGATTATTGGCATATCAATTATTAACGATAGTCAATTTTTTTTTCGCTCAGCTGAAAACTAATTTTTCTTAAAAAATGAAATATAAATATAAAGCCGAGTTCTACCTTAAGTGGAATATCTCTAGAATGGAAAAAAATAATCATGGCATTGTCTTTATTTTTTTCGTGCTAGAAGATAAACAAGACAAGATAAAATTATTGGGTATTTTACTACATTATTATTTTTCCCACTTTGAAAAAAAAAATGATTTATTCTTTTTAATCAAAACTAATTATATATATATATATATATATATATATATATATATATATATATATATATATATTCATCAAGTAAAAATTAGGTTAGACGGGGTTTATTGGATAATTTCAAATTCGCCTAACAATAAGTGTTCAAACTTATTCCCTCTTATATCTATATCAACAAAATTGTCATATATTTCTTTGTGTTTTTATTTTTTGATGTAACTTCTTCCGTTTTTTAATGTATTTTTTATTTATTATGCTCCATCGTTGACATTTAAGGTCCTTATTATATTTTCATGGACAACTTTTCTATTTGGGAACAATACAATGTGATGTTAACTCGGAAACAAAAACCCACAAATTTACTAATTAACTCTTCCATATCTAATAATTATTGGATTACAATTATAATAATTATAACTTTTTACTATTTGTTATGTTATTTATAATATATTATGTTATAAATGTTATGAACTATAATTTATTAAGTTAATTATTATAATTGTAACTTTTTATAACAGGATTATTCTATTAATTATAATCAATAGATAACGTTACATATTTCATCTTATCCGTATTTATTTCAAGTCCGGGTCATTTAATATCTTTTATGAACATTGATACAAATAGCTTTACAGTTTCCTCGTCTTCACTTAACATCATTAAGTCATCAATAACCAGAGGATATTATATCATCCATATTGAAATCTTTTCCGATACGGTTCATTTATTGACTAATTTTAAGTAGGACAGGTAAAAAAATCTTTTTTTTTTTTTTTTTTTAAACCCAAACTAATCTTAAATTGAATGAAAAAGTGATCATCGATTTTAACATTATTAAAAGTTTCGCTTAACCATTGCCATTATTATCTCAATAAAATATCATACTACTTCTGGTGACAAGATATACCTTGTCATCCTGCTTAGTAGTTGGTGTCAAGCGACAAACAACGGAAAACAAAATAAATTAGATACAAAAAAAAAATGGTTCGTTAAAATTGTTAAAAAGAGGAAGTGGATATAATATTTGTTATCCAATTTATTATTTAATTCTGCGTCTTCGTGTTTCATGTCCGTTCGCTGGTGTTCAAAGCTGGACCCCCGGAAGCCCTAGTTCGTGGCCCATCGATTTATTCTGAACAATTACTTAATTTTCTTTTCCGGACGTAATCAGCTTTCGTTCGTACAAAAAAAAAAAAAAAAAGAAAAAAAAGGAAGAAGAGAAGGGCGATTGTTGCTAAAGCTAAAGATGAAAAGACGTACCAATCAACAAGGACAATATGGTAAATTTCTTCTAGAAGCTTGGAGCTTACTCGACTAAACAATTAGAAATCTTTAAGCATTTTATTTTAACTTTACTATGAGAGTGTTAAAGGAGGGTGACTGAGTGGTAGGACGCTGATGTTTCAATACTCAAGGCTCCAGGTTCGATTCCCTGCTTATAACAGATAAAATATTTATTCTGTTTTATCGGCGGTGGTTCGACCTCCTAGGGCACACCCAGGCAATGTTGGTACCATTAATTAAATAATTAACTAAGAGAAAAAAACCTGGTGGTTGATTGTGATCTTGGTTAAATTACTTCCTTGCAAGACCGTTGACCAAGAAACAGCACATTTGTTACACAATATTGATCCCCCAAGATCATTCATGGGTTGTAGTGGTTAGTGTTGCCCAAAATCGGTCTTGTTCTTTCAAAGACTGTTACTCCATAGACATCTCCAACGGTCATTACCTTAGGTAGAGGTGGGTCCAGTCTGATTTAAAATCAAGAAACACAAGCTTCATCGAAAAATAAATAAATAAAACCAATAAGGATGTTATTTCATAGTATTGTGAACAATATTGCAATAAATATGTTAATGAAATCGTATTAAATTATTGGGTGAGTAAGATCGTATTGTGATTCAGCGGGCACTTAGATGATGTTGGTCGGTGGTGCAGACACGAAAAAAAAAAGAAGATTTTATAAGCGTTTTCAAAAGAAATCTTATGGATCGAAAGCGGATAAAGCAAATATTAAAAAAAAAAAAGTAGATTTAAAAGCTCAAGAATAGTGTTGCCCAAAATCGGCATTTTGCAAGACCAAGACCGCCTAACTGTTGCAAGACCAAGACCAAGACAGTCTAGCTCAAAAACGAAAAGTCCTACGAAACTGATATTACGTATTTAAGATAGGTATATTATGCCTTAGATGTGACGGCAACGTTTTCCTTAAAATCGGCTAACCGGAAGTGCCACTTCATATCAACGCTGAAACACATTTTATTATTTATAGATGATGGATTTAAAAAAAAAAATAGTTTGTAAAGAACAATTACAGGGGTTTAGCTGGTAGAGTTTTACGTAAGACATCAATAATAAACCACTAATATTATACAACACACTAAAGTTTTGAATAAATAGGTAAAGTATAAAATAGAGAATACAAAATATTTACAGTATTAGTATAATTCCGTAATTATTAGTATAAAACATCTACATTCCATTATTTTTTTTATTTATATGAGCTAATAATTATTTAATGGTTATTATATGCATTAGTTGCGCTACATATACTAAGCAATAAAAGTTCATTTTATCGCTATTATATATTTATAATAGAAGAGTGCAGAGGAAGAGTAAGAATCCCAAATTATTTTTTTTTAAATTTTTTACCAGTTCCTCAACGGCAACAGATAAGGTTCCTTTGAATATTGTTAATTAAAAGCACAATCCTCCTGGCGGCCTTTAAACCATCTTTGGTACGGGGTTGGGATTGTCTCTGTCCCGCCAGTGGAATCCTCGCTTCCTTTTATTCCATTCATCATCTCCATTCAGGGTCTTCTTTCATCAGGTTTTCTTTGCCCTCTTCATTCTCTCGGTACCTTCCCATTGTATCTGCTCCCTCACTTTTAACTACAACACCCTAAATTCCTTATGAGAAAAGAGCTGTGCATTATCCACAGATAGGGGCATCAATGCGGAACCAAAACCTCCCCTCCTCCCATCCCCTCCAGCCCATTCATCCTCCCATCTGAGAGATCCCTTATCTAATAACACCTTAGTGTTGAAGCGGTACTCATCTCCGTCTTCGCTATCCTCGTCAATAATGATTGATCTGTTTCATTTTTTCTTTTACAAAAAAACGAAAGCTTACTTTGTAATAATAATAATAATAATAATTCCTTCGACAAGGAAAGAAATTTGGGTCTATAATATATTTGGTCCATGTTTAATTAATTGAATTTCTTTTCTCAAAGGCTGGTTTGTGTTTATCATGCTTGCTAATTACCAATATCATCTGTGATCATCGTGATATAAACAGGTGGCAGAATTAAAATAACTTTTATTAAAAAAATTAATTTATTTCTATGTTTAACAAAGAATAATATACAAATAACATAGAAATCTTAATGTGCAAATACTATATACAACAATCTAAATACATGATTCAAAGAATTTAATCAATGACAGTAAATGGTATGATTTCATATGGACTGTTTGAGAATTATTGCCATGAAATATTTTAACATTGGGATTGGGAATTACAACTTAGCTATGGTTTATGAAGTGGTGTAATTGGTAGGTTTGGTCACTGCATCTGCTGATCCGAGAGCATCTAGTCAAGCCCAGGTCCAAACTGCCGTGAGGCCTATCTTCATGGTCTATGTAGGGTCAAGGCTTCAGCCCCAAGCCCGAAAAAAAAACATCAGACCTCTTTGTTTTTTTGTTTTTTTCCTACCCCTCAGGAA